AATTTTCTCAAACTCTCTAAAGAGCAAGATAGCGATATGAAGAACTTGAAGATGCTTATTTTTTGTAACATTTCTGGTATTAAGCATATAACCTGGAGCATCATTTTTCAAAGTGCTAATTAAAGCCCATTAAAATATTCCCCATTCAATTTGGTGGGTCTTTATCCATTTTAGTTTATTACGATAGAATAAAAAAAAAGCCAGAATAAATTGTATTCATTCACATTCCCAGTATGTGTGTGTGCATATGAATGTGAATATAGAAAAGGTAAAGGTAAGTATCCTTCCATATATGGATATGTGTCCACGTGTGCAGATCGCAAGTCCTAAGAAAAAAGTGTATTTCCTTCTGTGAATTACAGTCCAAAAAATGTAAACACAACTTTGCTGGAGAAACACCCCCACAGAAGCACAGTGAGACATTTACAGGGATGTTCATGGAAACGTTTTTTATAGCCATGAGTAATGGGAAACAATTAGATGTCTTTCAATTAAAAATGGATAAATAGGGACACCTGGGGTGACTCAGTGGTTGAGCATCTTCGGCTCAGGGCATGATCCCAGGGTCCTGGGATCGAGTCTCACATCAGGCTCCCTGTATAGAGCCTGCTTCTCCCCCTGCCTCTCTCTCTCTCTGTCTCTCGTGAATAAATAAATCAAATCATTTAAATAAATAAATAAATAAATAAATAAATAAATAAATAAATAATCGTATTCTTATATAACAAAGCACTACTATTCAGTAGTCAAAATAAATGAACTAGCCCTTCATGAATAACTTTGTCAAATTTCACAATATTGAGTATAAAGAGCACGTTGAGAAAGTACATCCATAAAATTTATGCAAATGAAAAACATTTGCATCTATATCCTTTATAGATATATGGAGTGAAGGTATAAAAATATACATGGTAAGGACACACACATGCTGCAGGATACTAGTCACCTCCAGCCCGGTTATCTTTATGCGGCCAGGAGAGCAGATCATGATTGGGATAATGAGGAATCAGCTCTAAGTATAAAATTATATTTCTTTCCAAAAGAGGGACATGAAACAAATCTGATGATATTGCACTGGCATACCTGAGTGTTTGAAATCTCAAAAGTAATTTCTTAATCAAATCAGGTGAACTGGCTTAAGGAAGTGTTCTGTGGCAAGAGGAGTATTACAACTAATTATAATCATAGCAGTTGTATTAAAATGCACTAATAATGCAAAAGAAAAGCTGGTATCTCCCCAAACACATTCAACATATGCCCACGGTCATTACACGTGTATCAAGATGGAATAACTTTAAATTGAACAGGAAAAAAAAAAGATACTGGAAAGAACTTCCCAACCACGAAATTCAGACGTTTGAGATTTAGAAACAGATGGTAATCAACTAAATTTCAGACTCGTACACATTCTCGTAGCTAGGGATCAGTTAAAATGACCAACTTTCTCCTGAGGTACTTCACATGTTTAGGTGATGTTAACTCCAAAAATATTTAAGTAGCTATAAAAATGCTAAGAAAGAGAAAACACCTTCAACTCATGTTGTCAGCTGTGGTTTTGGCCAAATACTTCACTTTCCTTTAGGCCATAACATTTGCCACATGCATGATTCTAGTTACAACTGCAGACTATTCAAAAGGTGGTTGCAATCACCATGAAAATCAGGCTTTAGCAGAAATGACTATGTTCCAAACAGCCACCGTATGTTAGGGCCAAAGGCTCTTTTTAAATTAACTATTTTTATGCAAATATTTTACCTACATGATCCGAAGAAAATTAACAAACATAAATTGGCTTTCACATTCTATGATGAGATCAATAAGACCGTGGAAATACACACTCCCTATAGCAGCATTTAACCCTAGATACTGTACATAAGAAATGTGAAATGCAATTAATTATCTATCGGAAGTTTCCCCAGACTAATAAGAAAACTAACATTCTGCAATTCGTTGTATACGCTCAAGTGGCCAGTTGAACTCCTTAGAATTCCTCATGGTGGACAAACTGTGAAGTGGACCCCAGGGAGTCAAGTCTTGACATAACCCACTTCCCTTGAGTGTGTGAGCAGGATCAGAGACTTGCTTCTAGCCAACTGAATGTGACCAAGGTAACGGGACAGTTGCTCTGCACTTACATCCGCCTGTATCTTAGGCTGTGGCAAGAGATTCCCTTGCTGGCTTGGACGTGGAGCTTTCACACTGTAAGCTGGTCTATAAGGGAGCTTATGAGTAGACCTTCAGGAGGAAGGTGAGAAACTGTGGTGGCAGATAGTAGCAGAGGGCCCTCAACTGAGAGCTAGGAACAAATGGGGACCTCAGTCCTACGATACCAAACCCGTAAGAGCTTGGATGAGGATTCTGAACTCTAGAAAGGAGCACAACCCTGCCCACGTGTTGACTGCGACCTTGTTAGACAATGAGAAAAAGAACGGGGTCAGCTGTGCCTGGCCTTCTGACCCACGAGGCTCTGAGGTCCGAAACTACATTGCGTCAGGCACCTAAGTTTGGGTAATCTATTACGTAGCAATGGACAATTAAAATGATTCCCCAACCCAAAATGTTGGGTTGTCAGAAATTCTCAGTTTTGAGTGCACATCAGGATTGCCTAAAACCTTTTTTCCTCCCTTTTACACAAATACACAGGTCGGTACCTCAAAGCAAGTGGTTGATCAGAATTTTGAGAGGAGGCTGAGCTATACTCATTGTGTAAAGATTCCCAGGTGATCCTGATGACACGGATCTGATCCTTAAGATCCTTTCTGGTTATAAATATGTTTACAAATGACATTTGGCATCCAAAGGTTACTAAGTCTACTTCCTCTCATTTTCTTGTACAGTAAATCACACATAGTATTTGCTGTAGCTCCAAGGACCAATTTTTAAAACATGGAAACGGCTGTGCTTGATAAATAGATCTCTCTTTGGCCATCTTCCAGGATGATATGTCATCAACCAGTGTGTGGTCATTTATTTCCCTTCTTAAAAGAGAGAGATTGAGATAAACACACAACACACATACACATGCACCATTTTAAATGACCCCTGCACACAAAGTGACTACAAATGAAGCCTGTTTGGGGAGGGAGTGGGAACAGGCACCTCTTATTACCCTCTTTCCTCTTCCTGTCTCTAAAACCAGAACTTTCCCTTCTATCCCAACTCCCGCTGGGCAAAAATCTCATATTTTCTACTGACTCTTTTTTGTACCAATCCCTGAGCAAAGCTCTGATGCTCCCCATCATCGGTCTATAATGAGAGAAGACAACAAGGTAAGGAGAGGAAAAGCTAAACCTTAGAGAACTCTCAGCTATAAATTAAAGTTCGATCTTACTTATGTTTTAAAAGTGATGGTCCCATGGAATAGAGACCAGAGTTCTTCCTCCTTCTATTCACTTCTAATTTATATTTGTCCTAAGCCAACGTACTGTGAAGAAAAGCTAGAGAAGTTGAGGGGCTAGATGAATTGATTTTTGGTTTTTGTCTTCAAAAAAGAGGAATAACAGGAATAGACAAAGTATCACAAGGTGGCATATAAGGGCACGTGCCTCAGTTTTGATCCTCAGTCAAGGCTTTATGGTTGTTGAGTTTCTAAGGGCAAATATAAATCCTGAATAAGTGGTTCATTATGGGCTTCCCTCTTTTCAAATGGGGTCAAACTACTTTCTTGGCAGATTTCCTTTAAGGTGATTTATCATACTGCTGAGAAAGTGAATGAATGAATGAATGAATGAATGAATGAATGAATAGATCCTCTCTCTTCCTCTTCTAATCATCCCCATGAAGAATTTGTAAACTCCATTAATCACACAGCGGGCTTGATTGAGTTTTCGGGACTAAGAAGGCAGCCTGATGGAGGTGTGAGCAGTTTTCCGTTTATTAATGTAACAATAATCCAAAAAAAAGTTGAAAAGGGGGAAGAAAATATTTTGCAATCTCATCTTCAAAGTCAAAACATTTTGAGACTTTTTTTTTTTCCTGCTTTTAGATTTCAGGTCAGTGGGTCTGAGTTTGGGAATCCTCAGACAGCTCATGTTTCACACAGAAGGCGTGGTGGCCTTGCGGTTTGTTCTCTCCTCTCTTTCAAGCACTATCTATCAACCCCTGCCTACCCCAAGTCCTATTGCCCCGTCCTGTTGAAGCTTCCCTTGGAACAAAGATCGACCTTTATTACACACTTGCGTGCTTCCCAACAAACAATGCACTTTATTGTTTTCAACTCATCCTTGACTCTTAAAAACTCAACCACTTCAGATGTGGCCTCACGTTTCAAATCCTGATGGGGCTGTGCCACTTGGCACTTTGACAAGGAGGGCTCACCTTTCCCTGTGCTTTTTTTTTTTATTTTATAAATATGTATGTTTAATCTGAATCACTACTAACTGAACTTACTTTTCTAATGATGATACACAATCCAACATCTCTCCCCAGGATACGGTCTCTTACAGTTGAACTAATTATGGGAACAGTGGATATGATATCTCTTCTTTTATAATAAACCCAACCAACCGTGCCATATTCTCATTGCCACTAGAACATTTAATTCCCTTGATGATAGCTTTAACTGTTGCTAAGAAGAATATTTTTTTTTCCAGGGCTCTTCATTTTCATCACCAACAACGTGATGTGTTTATTTCCTTCTCCAAGAGCAACTATCTCCTCAGGGGAAGAAAAAGAAGTTACTTCAAAACCCCACAAAATGTTCTGAGCATTCTAAGGAGTGGGTGGCGTCCACCTAGCCAGGCTCTCCGGGTCTCTTCACAGACCATGGCTGGGCAATGCTCCAGGGACACTTTTGGGTTTTTTTGTTTGTTTATTTTTGTTTTTTGTTTTGCAGCTTCTAAGGTTTTATTATCATGAGTTTTAAAAACAAGCATGCATACCGGTGTGGAGGTGAGGGGGAGAAAAGAGAGGAGGGGGAAGAAGAGGAGAGGAAGGGAGAGGAGGGCAGGGAGAGGGAGGGATTTCTGCTTTCCTGGCAGCAAAGCTCCAGGTTCATCTCATCATGGATAATCCCCCGGAGGCACATGGTCCTTAAGAATCATGTACCAAGTCTTTAGGATGATCTTGTTCAAACAGGTGCCAGGACGGGAGGTGATCAGCTTCTGAAGGCCCCTGATGGTGTCACCAGTGTTGTACTTAACACGGACCTTCTTCCCTAGACGGTAGTTGCAAGCAGCTCCCATCATCCTGTCTGGAGCTCCAAACACCTGGCATGTGTCCCTGCACAAACTCCTCACTCCAGGGCCAAGCCCGGGTCAGGTGGACTCTAAGAGCTGGAAACGGACTTTTAATCCAATTCCCCTATCTTGTCCATACCCGTAGCCCCTCCTCCTGTGGCAACCATCAGTTTATTCTCTGTATCTATGAGTCTGTTTTATTTTGTGTTTCATTTTTAAATTCCATATATAAATGGACTTCCACAGTATCTGTCTTTCTCTGACTACTTTCATTTAGCATAACAACCTCTAGGTCCATCCATGCTGTTGCAAATGGCAAGATTTCATTATTTTTCTTATGACTAATACTCTTATACCACATATTCTCTATCTACCCACATACCCGTGGATAGGAAGATTGCTTCCATTTCTTGGCTATTGTAAATGGTGCTGTGATGAACATAGGGATACACAGGGCTTTTCAAATTAGTGTCTTAATTGTTTTTCTTTTCTTTTCTTTTTTCTTTTCCTTTTTTTTTTTTTTTTTGATAAATACTTAGAAATACAATATGGTCCAGCAAGTCCACTTCTGTTTATTTTTTAAAAAGATCTATTTATTTATTTGTTTATTTATTTATTTATTTATTTATTTATTATTATGAGGGAGAAACAGAGATAGAGAGACAGAGATAGAAAGAGAGAGAATAAGCAAGCAGGGGAGAGAGAATAAACAAGCATGGGAGAGGGGGAGAACCCTCAGACTCCTCCCTGAGCATGAAGCCCAATGTGGGACTTGATCCCCAGACCCTGAGATCATGACCTGAGCTGAAATCAGGAGTCAGCCACTTAACTGACTGAACCACCCTGGTGCTCCTGGTAGTTCTATTTTCAATTTTTTGAGAAACCTCCGTAGTGTTTTCCATAATGGCTGCACCAATTTACATTCCCTCCAAAGGTGCACCAGGGTTCCCTTTCCTCCATATCCCAGCCAATATTTACCATTTCTTGTCTTTGTCAGAGTAGCCATTCTTACAGATGGAAAGTGATACCTCATTGTGGTTTTTATTTGCATTTCTCTGATAATTAGTGATGCCAAGCAACTCTTCAGGTACCTTTTGGTCCCCTGTACATTTTCTTTTTTTTTTGGGGGGGGGGTGTCTATTTAGATCCTGTGACCACTTTTTAAATCAAATTGTTTCTTTTTTTTTGATATTGCATTGTACCCAAACATACTCCTAAAAAGAAAAACAAACGTAAGTAGCAAGAGGTGAAGACCTGATTATGTATATTATTTAATGGAATTGTGCATGATATGTTGTCCTGCTAAAGGCCTATTTTGGAGTCAAGTCATCCAAGTGATTTATAATGGTAGAGCCTATACCCTTCTTACATAATCAACATCAGGCAAAATTTTGGGATCAAATTCAAAATATATAGGTGCTGGTAATAACTCTCATGACTAATCACCCAATACATTTTGCCTTTTGCCTTTGTTTACCAATAATGTTTATATCCCGATTAAGTCAGGTATGCTGACTGGCCACCAAATGTACCACAGATGAGATTTTAATAGTGATAAAGAAAACTGATGTCTTATCCTACAGATTAAATGACCACAACACACATATGATTTCACTGACTTATCAACTACCCGGGAGAAGATAATCTTCCTCTCTCCCTCCCCCCAAATCAGTTTTTACTGAATTTCAGAGTTGTGAAGTCACTTACCCAACATCAGAGTTAAAAAGTGGTGGAGTGGGTCTTCTACCTAGATTCTGGTCCTGTGTCCTGTACAGCAGTTTCCAAACTTACTTCTAAGGTAAGCAACCCTCTTACAAAGGACAATTTAAGCACAAGTTCAACATATAATGGAAATAAATATGCACTTACCACTATCAGTTATGAAAGATGCCAGACACCGTGCCAGTCCCTTCAACTCTTTCCTCCGCTGAAGTGATTGAAGGAGCTCTGAAGGAAACACTTTAGCTCCTCACTGCACAGTTTGAAATCCACTGATGAATATCATAGATAGAGGCTGAAAGATTGCAAGGAAAGGAATTCATGATAATGACCAAGATAGCAATGCTGGTTACGGACTCATTGCATTAATTGTATGTTCATCAACTAGAGCTTTCTTAAGTGTAAGTGGATGGATTCTTCCCTCTTTGCTTCACCAGGTACTTTAACTCTGTCATCACCCAGGCCTCTGTAAGCTTTGCCCCAACACATCCCCAAATGTCACATAAACCAGAATGCTATACTTCTAATGCTCTTAAATCCAGCAACAGCTCATCAGTGATCCTTCTACTAGAAGGAAAGCAACGTAAGTGTAAGTACTTCCTTTTAGGGTATCTGTGAAATTAGCTCTACCTAACTGGTTTGCCTTTATTATTAATTCCAAGAAAATCTGAGGTTGGGTTCATGTCAAAAGAGCTACTAAGTTTTGATATCATGGAAAAAGCACCAGGGTTGGAGCTGGACAGTCATTTCTAGTCAAGGTAACCCATCTCCCTGTGAGTCTTTGTGCAAATCAGTTCTTTTCAGTTTCAGTCTTCACATCCAAAAGATTAGCATAACTGTGAATCCTAATTATGTTATTCTGAAGAGTAGTATTCAAAATATCCAGCTACTAGAATGTTAAGTACATTGTCCAATCAGAACAGATGCGGACAGCAAACACTGAAGGATCCCAGGTGTGATCATCCTGGAAGAATCTGGTGAGATCAGTTGGCACAGTAAACATGGAAATGCTTTGTTAACTACGAAGTCTACCTAAAGTTAGAGGTGATCATAACACTAGTTTTTTTTTTAATTCTGTACATCTTTGCTTACTTATAGCTTAGTATTTGCAAATCTTGTTCTCCATGAACTTCAGTGCTACAAGTATTTAGAAAGACAAAGATGATGGTGATTATGATAGTTATTTGATTTTTACCCACTTAATTCTAAATGATGGGTATCACTATGATCTGTTTTGGAGATGATAAAACTGAGGCTCAATGAGTATAATTCACGTGCCTAAACTTGCACAGCTAATCATGCCAGAACAAGAATCCAAACGCTAGTGCATCAACATCACTTGAGTAACTGAGGTATGATTTTTTACCAAAATTCACAGTAAATTTCCAAGTCATAACATATGCAAAACAAGCCTGCTATCTTCTGTTGCTTCTAAACTAGAGTAGCTGGTAAGGTGGGTTTACTTTGTATTTAATGAAGCTGCAAGATCCCCCCTCCCCACCCCTTGCACAGCAGCCCACCAGTCCTAGAGTATTCGGGGTGGGGAGGGAAAGCCAGGTTGCATACAGAAGCATATCTACATAAGCATTTCTGGAAAATGGCCTACAAAAGAATTCAGAAGAAAAGATTCTAAATTTCTAAAATTTCAGAATTTGCTTGTGATGATTTCTCTCATTTGAAATAACCACTTATTGTACCCAATTATGTTTTTATAATTTGCCTGTTGGTTTTTCCTTAAAGTCTTTAAAAATATAGGACTTTTTGGGTTCCCCCAGAAAAGTTCTGCCCTGGTCACTGTGTTAAGTTAGGACAAATACAGTAGAGTATTTGGGAAACCGGCTACACCCAGTTTTCTCACTCTTCTCTCTCGCCACTCACACTTCTGAGCCAATATATCATCAATTTCTGATTTACTAGGTCTACGTTAGTTTCCCTGTCTGCGACCTCCATAAAGCCAATGTCTTCCCCTATTTTAACAGTGTCACAATTTATGTTACTCCCCAGCTGATGGGCTGCATGTACCTCAAAGACAGGCTGTGTCTGACTTGATCACCACATTGTCTTTCATACCAAGTTCAGCATCTGACACGAAGTAGGTATGTAATAACTCAGTGAATAATTACTGAATAGGCAAATGCTTTTCTCCTTGCTTATATATATTCATGTGCTTTTTGAATGTTCCACATACCTTGTTGAAAAATGTAATTTTTTCACCTTAAATTTCTATTTTTTTCCAGATTTATGTGAGAGCAAGAGAGCATGTGAGTTGGGGGAAGGGCAGAGGAAGAGGGGGAAGCTGACTCCCCATTGAGCATGGAGCCTGACCTGGGGCTCAATTCCAGGACCCTGGGATCATGACCTGAGCTGAAGGCAGATGCTTAACTGACTAAGCCGCCCAGGTGTCCCTCACCTAAAAATTTCAATAGCAATATACCCTTACTAAAGAACTCAGTCCATATCTCTGAACTTGAAGACAAGTGCAGACAGAAAAGTCAAACACTGTTCATGTGAACAATCAAAGCAATAGAAAAAGACAACTTTAAAATATAGTCACATGTATTTAGAGGTCACTGAAAATAATTGCCCTCCCCATTCTCACAAAGACAAATCCCATGACTCACTAAACACACTTACCAAGAAATGAACACATTTCCCATGAAACAGAAGGTGTTTCCTAGAGAACAAAATGTAACTTATAGTGACCTTTTGTTTTTTTTTTTTTGCAGTGAAAGTATTTTATTTTTTTTTATAAATTAATTTTTATTGGTGTTCAATTTACCAACATACAGAATAACACCCAGTGACCTTTTGTTTTATGACAACTCCCTTGTGTCAGGAATTCAAAGTGGGTCAAATGACCACAAAAACTTGTGTCAGGGATTCCAGTCGATCAAATGGGCCAACTGGAAGATGGAAGATTGAACTGTCTTCATCTTTTGCCTGCTCTTAGGGGAATAGCATAAATCTTTTATGGCAGGTTGTGAGACAGTTTGATATGTTTCAGTAGTCGCTTCATGCCTCTTCTGAATCAACTTGTCCAGTTTTTGTCTTTGGTTTCACAGAATCATAGAAACACGGAGAGTAGAATAGGATGGATCCCTGGAGATTATCTAATTTAACTTTCCTCACTATAAATTCCTTCCAAGGAGTCCCAAAAACTAATGAGGGAACCTCCGGAGTGAGACTTCCAGATATGGGGCAGCTCCAACTATTGGAAAGAATGTTCATTTTGTTTTATTCTGTTTTGTTTCTTCCAAGTTTCATCAATACCTGCCTTCCTGTAATTTACT